TTCAGTTCCTGCTGTTTAATGCAACTATATGGAAAATGCCCTCATACTATAGAAGAGGGTGATTATAGCACATGAATTTAAACAAGTGCAAATATCTAGTTGTTACTATTTAAAATCTGCTCATCAGCAGTAAATTAGACTTAGAGTATCCCTGTGTATCAATCCAATTGCTACAATAATCTGCTACTCGGTCTTCTGATCAGAAAGCATCCCCACACAAATGAACGAGGCTAAGCAGGATCCTGCCATTGACCAAATCTTTTCATGAGTATCTTTTCTCATTCATTTTTTCATGCTGACAATAATAATTTCTCATCATTCAGGATGTCTGAAATTAGTTGTTATCAGCGCTCCATGAAGGCTCACAGCTCGGTCCATGCCTTCAGCCATTTGGGTGCATCATCCTCGTTTGGACTAGTTTCCGTAGAGCAGCATTCACAGTAGCGAAGGAGAAGAACGAGCAAATCTAGCAGCGTGCAAACTTCTTCAAGCTTTAAAGTCACCAAAAATGAAGTACTAAATTTGAAATATACTCAAATTAGCTGCTTCCCCTCAGAACACATAAGGAATGTATGTGACTACTGAAACTTTGGTGCACAGTCTCAGATCATCACCCTGCGTGCAATGCACTCCTGTGAGCACACAGTGGCTCTAATAAAACTGCAAGTGGGATCACAAAATGTGAAAGGCAAACAAAATATCCTGGAGAGTCTTAGATGAATGTAAATAACATTTGGTTTTCTGCACAGCAAGTATGCTACTAATGAAAAAGCATTTTGCTTCATATATAATTAGTTAAATAACAATGCATCTTTAATCATACAATAAAGCAGAGGATATTTTTTTTTCAGAAATTATTATATTTCTTTTCTTTTGACAGAACTTAAATGAACAAATCCTCTGTAAATTGGCTGTTGATCTGTACGCAGGAAAAGATTAAACAGATTTGCTGGATTATTCATCAAACCATTGTGTCCATTTAAGCCTTAATTTTGCTCAAAAGAAAAAGAAGAAAATTTATCTGTCATTGCTAAAAGCTGGAATCAAAACATTAAAGTTGATGAATGAATATCAGAACTAGAAAGACAGCGCACCCTTGTCCTCTGAAGAAGACACTGTGTCGTAGCCATGCTGTAAGCCAACAGCTGCACAACAGCAGGGACAAGAAAAGGTGCAGTGTGGTTGTCCATGGAAGGAGAGCAACGTTGGGTAGCACATTTCAAAACACTGCTCCCGCTGAGTTCCTGAAGTTTTAAAGTAGGGTGACTCGGGGCAGGATCGACTAATGCATTTGTACCTGGTGCTTTGGACTTCACGTTGCTCCTGCTCCCTGGCTCAGTGATGACGAATAAAGGAAACTCTGCTTGGGAAGGCTGTGAAGGGACAGCCTGCCCAGAGCAGTTTGGACAGCTTTCTAGCCCTACACCTTCACTACTGAAAGTAAGATGAGTCTCTAAATTCTGCATATTATTTGGTTGTATTTTGAAACTGAATGTAACTAAATGTAGACACCACGTGGTGAACGCCTGACTATCTACGGATAGACAACATTTTGCTTTTCAGGGTAATGGCAACAGAGCACCAGCTTTGTCATCCCCATCCATCACGGTACGGATCAGAGTGGTTGGAAATGTTGTGAAATGTGTCTCTCAGGGTTATGACTTTTACGCACAACATGAATACTCTTCTAGGCAAAGTAGATGCATTTCTATTCACAAAGCTGCAGCGTTTTCCATGACGACTGGCAGGGTTATTTTGTTTTGCTGTTTGTTTGCTTACATGGTTTCCTTTTTTTGAGAGAGAGCAAGCATTTGTTCAACCGATGTTGCATTAACGAGCTGGTAATTCTATCTATCCTGCTGCGCTAGTGCCAGTATTTCACATAATTGTATTTTTCTGTCTGGGGAAATGCTGGGTCCTACACAGATGGAAAAAGACGATCTGAATCAATACATTTATATATGTGTGTATGGTTTCCAATGCATTGAAAATGATCCCTGTGTTTTATTTTAAATCTTTTATTCATAGGGAAAAACTAGTTTTCCCATGTGTATCAGAAATGAACATTGATCAAATCATTTCAAAAACTAAAGCAAACCTCATTTTTTTTCGGGTCCAGAAAGCCAATAAAAGCATCTTAAAATCACAGTGACAAGGGAAGGATAAATTGTATGCTTCAAAACATATATATTTTCAAAGCAATTTAATACTCAAAGGATTTAAGAAAGAGGGAGGAGGAGCTTTTACTTCATGGCTTTCTTTACATAGAATTTCTTCAAAAATGGAGATGAAAATCACTATCTAGATGCGGGAAGTCACACATAAAGCATTACCAACCTCCATTTGCAAGCAAATTAGCTATGATGTCTAGCCTTAGAATACTATATGGGGTTTAAAGCTGATTTAGACTGTCATTATAATAGATGGAGTTTAAAAATAATGTTTTTTTTCTCTATGCTTGAGCTTGATTCTGCTCAAGCACCATCTTCCAGAACCTCTTCCCTGCTTTCCACTGAGTTCTCTGCTCCTGAGCTCGCAAGCAGTGTCCCTTTGTGCAATCCTACTTCTCCAACATTGATTTCCAGCACAAACAGGGAGGCACAGTACAGTAGATTCCAGGTCCATAATCTGTTTATAATTACTTTGGCCCTTTTCATTGTGAGGATGCTCCAAAATCCTTTGTTCAAGTTAGCTCTTTAATAAAGCATCTTGTAGTTTAAAATACAAAGCTGCACTATCTGTGACCTGAAACTGTGAAGATTCCATTTCAGAATAAAACCCCAATTTAGGCATTGGTCATGTAAGGAATAAAGCTACAATTTAGTGATGAGGATAAGAAAGTACAATGAATTTACGTAATTCACCTTGGCGTGGAGAAACTGGTCAGCTCCCAGAGATTACTTAGCACTGCTAAACGCTTGTATATACTTGCTTTTCTTGCAGATTATATGTGACAAGAATAGTCTTGGGGAGTTATTACATAAGAAGGACTATTTAAAGTTTATTCATTTTAGTGTAATTCTGACATTTCTAAATTAAAAACAGCCTGCTTCTTGTTCTTGTGGTGTTGGAGAAGCTCAAAGAATCTCTGATACAGAAAATATTTTCTCACTTCATAGAGCAGTGTGACTTTATTAACCACAGTGCACTACATTACAACTTCTCCTATTAATAATTTCTATGTGCATCATGCACTGCACGCTGCAGAATCTCCTGATGAAGTCTAATCTCACTGCCCTAACACTCACAAGCCCTATTCCTGTAGTCATACAGATTTAATGAGAAAAAAAATGATTGTCTGAAGAAAGACAACTTATGCTGAAGACTGAATACCTAATTCAAGTGTACACTAGTGTATTATCAAAACAATGAGGTAGGAGTCCTTTTCAAAACAGGTTCGAGTTTTTGTGGCCCATCCAATTGAGCCACAATATTTTAAACACCAACGCTTCTGACAGAATACAATTTAACTCCACAGAAACTGGTGTTCAAATATTAGTAGTGAACTTTTCTGTTTGTACAGATCCCACTGTTAAGGCTCAGAATTTGGTGTGGATCACACACTGGGTGCGGGTAGGACAGTCGTCCCGGTAGTGCCTTCCAGCAGCTCTGCCCTGACACGGATGACAGGGCGATGGCTTTCCCAGAGCCATGCTGGACCGGAGAGTCACCCCAGTGCTGCCTCCTGTCACTCCCCAGGGACAACTGGGGCAGCAGGAAAAGAATCACAGATTTTCTACACCACCTCTGGTAAATTTGCAGTTTTAGAGGCAGAGGCTTAGAACTAGGAAAGGGGAGATCAAAAAAAATAAGTGTCATACTAAAGGCAAGTCCTCTCTAAGGAGAACTGTGCACGTTTCTGAACTTTGGTCACATTGTTTATAAAATACATGCATGAAATGTTAAAATCCATTCACTTAGCAGTATTTGGCTTTTAAGAGAGCTTCTGAAGAATGCTGTGCACAAAGATGCTATTTTTATGGAAAACAGTAACTGTTCCAGGACATCATATGGCAATCAGCCCCTCATCTAAATATGCACATATATCTCACAAGATTAAAAATGTTCTACAGTCTCCTATATGAAATCAACACTGACTTTGCTTCTTGTGCCAATTCCATCCTGTTTTTCTGTAGAAAGCGCTTAATCTGCAATATTTGGTCAGAACAAGTTTCACAAATACTACTTAGTAGCTTCCATATGAGATACTGTAAAGAGCTACCAAAAAACATACAAGATTCCCTTTACTTCCCCTCACAAAACAGATAAAGAAATATATTACTGTGTGGCATGTATTATGCAACATTTTGGATAGAAGTAATCAGGAGTTCCATGTCTAAAAGAGATAATTAAAAGGCGCAAAAAAAAACAAAAGCCAGAAAATCCTGATTTAAACCTTGGCAGTTCCTATATGACAAACTGTTTTGAGAAAACATCCATAGCAACTTAGAGTAATGCAGATTAATTTTTAGAGTTATTCTTGTACAGGTGACAAAAATAAAATCCTAACACGCAGAAGTGACAGATTTCAGTTATTAGATGATTGGTTAGGCAGCTTCTAATACTTCTATAATTTCCAGGGACATCCCTTTAATGCTGCACATCTCCTGTTTTCTAAAACATTAGCAGGTTCCTGTCAATGCAAATGATTCAGGCATGGCCTTCAGAACGTTTTGGCAATTTTACCTCATGGTTGAAGTGAACAACAGCACGATTTTATTAACTCAGCCTCATACCCTCTAAGACCAATATCAGTCATCTTATAACCAGATCCAGAGTAGTATTTATTCTCCATAGCATATAACATCATTTCTATTTCCAGTTACCAGTGCAGCAAGTCCTCTTGTATGTTCCCTTGGAATATCTAAAAATCATTGCTTAAAAAGCACATGATGGGATTAACAAAAACCAGTATTCTCCTTCAAGAAACACATAATGGCAATAAAACAGAAAATTACCAAGGTTATGCAGGGAAAAAAACCCAAAGCAATAAGCCTTACTTGTGCAAGGTATGAGATGGCCGGTCATTTTTCTCCAGTTGTCCATAGCAGCTAGTTTTTGCTTCAGGAATGAAGGAGTATTTTTCCAGCATGGCTGATGCAGCAGTGGCAATAATCCCAAGGCCATCCCGTACCCGAGCTTCTAAACTGTAGTCCCATTCATCATAAGATGCTGAAATGAGTCCTGAAGGAAACTCCTTGGGAGTGATTTCTGTGTTACCACTAACCAGGCTGGGAACTATCCAAAAGAAATCATAACCAGTAAGGCCCAGGGAACGAGCCTCATCCAGTATGTAGACAGCTTCATCCTTGGAACAATATAGCAGAATGACAGATGAATGAATTTTCTTCAGCTGAATTTGGGTCTTGGCATCTCCAAAGGCTGTATCAAGTATGATGACGTTCTGCATGTCCCAGCCCACAAAACTATTTTCCACTGTGGTCTTAATGACATTGATGAAGTCTCGATATCCAGGAAAGGTGGTGGTCACCAGAGAAAACACATGCCAGTCATAATCCTGCATGATTTTCAGCATGACGATGGCTTCTTGCTGGATGGAAGCCCCAAACTGGAAGAATGTGGACATCACATCCTAGAATATCAAAAACAGTGAAAGATTACTAATTTTGTACAAGTCTGTAGGGAATAGAATCTCTAATTCTTCTGATCTCTTTGGTCCACCATGACTACCAAATTTTCATTGCATTCGAATAACATCCTTATCATATTCGTGATTAACAAGCAACACTGATCGTAGGAAAGTACCACAGCTAATTAAAATATTTGCTAAAAAGTAACAAACAGATATTTACGTAGGAAATTTCTGAGTGCTTGATCACTTGAAGACAGCTACTCAAATCAGCACTCACTGAGGAAGCTCCCTAGAGACAGCCACCCACTGTTAACTCATCTCTAGCAAGTAGCTTTAGATTCATCAAACCTATTAAGAATGTGACCCAATAAATCCATACCTAGTTTTAGTTACAAAACAAATAAATTGCAATGCACATTCTGTATATAAATGAAGAAGCTCTGTACTTCCAGACCTAATGTCTGAGGGATACTTCATTTCCACAGGTTCATTGGGCTTGGGGGAAGCTGTGAAACTCTGCAGAAGTAGATTTATTGTCCCCACATACTGAGTTCACTACTGATCGTGGGCTCACTACCGATCATGCTCCGTTCGGAGCACATGGTCCGTTGACACCTGATGTAGAATTAACAGGATGGGACTCCAGGGACAGTCAGCAAGCTGCTGATGTCCTACTTAAAGGACTGAAATGGCCGTACATTCAAACAATGGCCTCATAGTCTGTGACTAGCAGCTGCATTGCCTGAATCAGCTCTTCTGCCAGTTTGCTAGACTTGTTTCTAATATTTGTCTTAGGCTTTTACAGTATTCATACCATTTTATACAGCATAAGGGCAGGTACCTCTTATTTTAACATCTATCAGAAACAGGCAACACAATAATATGCTTTGTTGGTACTAAATTTACAAACATTTTCATTGGTGTAGTTTTACCAGGTTGCTGTAAGATCTAAATTCTATTTTGAATTTTAAATTCTAGCTGTATATACAGCACAATTATTAGAGTACCAAAAACTATACACAGGAAGCTATATAATTCTTTACTTTCATTTCACTTCAGTATTTATTCCTCATCAGTAGTGGCAACTTATATTCCTCATTTTCAGATACAGAAAGCATGAACTCCTGCTGAAAGAAAAGCTTATGATTTAAAAATAAGACATTAACCATTCAAGATTTCTTATGCAGCCTTTACAGGAAAGACACACACGGTGGTTTTAATTTAAAGAGTTTTATGAATGTGATTGTGAACTGCTATCCTATTTTACACTTGTGGGGAACAGAAACAGATTAATTGACTCAGGTTTCATAGCAAGTTGGTGTTAAACATACAATTATTAGCGAGAACAGTAACTCAGCTCTACAAGTTCTGTATTTTATCTATGGAAATCTATTCAGAGCAAACTGAGTGTCTAATTTTTTTTTTAGTGGAAGATGAGGAGTGTTATTACATTCCAAGTGTTAAGAACCTGACACCGGGATTTTATATAGCTTGACAGGAATGAAGGTCTTACAACTTGTGTCAGACCATAAAGACTAATATTGAAGGTAGAAAGTACACAGTACTGGTGGTAATGAATCATCTGCCATGGCTTCTTTGGTACCTCAAAGTGCCAGATTTGCAGTAGTTTTAGGTTAATTACAGATGTTATAAAATATATTTGGGAGAACTGAATTAGGAAGATTTGATTGCTGAGCATTTCTAGGAGCTATTTCCTGGTGACCTGCACTCTATACTTAAAAATAAACAAATAAACAAGCTTTTCATCTGCGGAATCTTATAGCTAAAGAAATTCAGCACACAGAAAATCTGATCGGAGTCAGCATTTAATGGCTTAACTACTGATTTACTATTACAAAGTAAATTAGATATCTGGATACAATGCTGTGAATCTAAGTTTGCAGTAGCTTCCTAATTGAACATAAAAAATACTGTAATGTAAAGTCAATCACCTCAGCTTTCTTCTCCAGCTCTTACCTTACTCTGGTTTTTACTTCAGATTATGCTAAATAACAGTTAAAATAAGTAAAACAATTTACAGTAAATTAAATAAATTATTTCCATCATATCCTCTCACTCTACCCCATTTCTAGATATGGTTTATGGCTACTAAGGCGGTAAAATAATTCTTTCAAACAATACATACACTTTGGTCCCTTGTGCGTCACAAGGAACTTATCCAGTAAGGCAACTGAAGATTAAGTCTTTGAGGGCAAGAAGCAACGCACATGGACATTTCCAAGTTTGACCTTTCTAACTAGTAAATACAAATTTTTAACCTAGAGCCGTCCTTGTCATCTTCCCTGGCCACGAACAACAGTCTTGTGCACAACAGCCTGTGTCACCATTACAGGAGTCTGACAACACAACAAAAGTACTAAAAATAAATCCTTTCCTTTTGTAAACATTTTGTTAGAAAAATAGTTCATGAAAGGAGTTTTGAGTAAGCATTTTTGTAAAGTTCACACTCATATTACATTAATCCTTTTCACATAACTGTGAATGTGAACTTTAGTCAAAATCAGGCAATTAATACCAAATTGTGATCAGAATGGTGAAAAAATGTAATTATATGGTGAAAACAAGTTTGGGTTCAGGAAAAGTGGAGATACAAATATCACAAGCAAGATTCTCAGCTGAAGAAATTCTGTGTAACTCCACTGACTTCATGCGATGCTTTTATAGAACTGAAGATCTGATTGTATGTGTTTACAATGAATTTGAAACAGATGGAAGATTACAAGCAAATTGCAGCCTCAGGAACTTCAGCAGATATTTAAATGCCTATAAGGAGAATATTCAAGGACATGTTATCCATTAAGTTTAGTGGAAAAAATAAAAGAAAGTCTAGTGAAGAAACAGCAAATAAATAAATAAAACTATATGGGATCCAACTATTGTATCCTTAAACATCTACAGAACTGTTCATTTTGGGGATTTTAAAGCTTCAAATTCTTCCTGAAGATCATCATTATTATTCCTTTGATTTATACAGACCTAGTATTATGTTATACACAGAGAATTTAAGTTCTACTTTTCTATCTTTAAAAGCAAAACCTAAAATCATTAAAGTGATGTTTGCAAAAAACCAAAATTATTCAGTTATTTTCATTTAACTGTCATCTTGTCATCTATCAAGACATCTGTCTAAGTCATTGCTGAAGTAAGAATACATTCGTAATATGGGAGGTGCTTTAAATGCACATCAGAAATACATACTTTTTCTTTCCTCATGGCCTCATCTATTGAGATTATTGGTGGAGGAAGCTGTACCACTTATCCAATACAATAAACTTTTATACAACGGAAGACAAATCTCCAAGCATGAAAATCCCAAGATATTACACTGACATGCGCAAAAAAAATTAGTTAGAAGTAGTTGTGGAAATGATTAAGTAATGCTTTATTTGATTTATCTCTTCCAGCTTCTTAGCTGGATTCTACCACAGCCATGTAAACAAAAAACATCAATGAAAAGAGAAGGAAAAGAACAAAGGAAAACTTTTTCTTTCTTTCTGTCTTGCACATGAACATACACTTTATAGCAAAACATCTCCCCATATGTTTCACACTAGAAGGAAGTAATCCTTCAATTGGTTCTTGTTTAATGTTATTCTTGAATTTTGTACACAACATGAAATTCCATCATTACAGGAGAAGGGCACTTCAGCGTTCCCATGCTTCTGCACAAAACAGAGCAGCTTTCTCTGGTGCTGTCATTTCATAGATTAATATATTAGAGTATTTTGCTTTTTAATTAGTGCATTGAGTTCACAAATCTGTCACTGTTGTCAGAATTGCACATTTCACTTTCCCAATTCCAACAAATCACAGGAATATTTCTCTCAAAATCTCATCCTCAGCTATTTTTGTGACATCTTAGTTTCCTAGCTCCAGCTTTTCCGTGAGATCAGCAGGGCATATTCACAGCTGCTGTAACAGCTGAGGTAAGCCCTGACAGTAGTTTATGCCTACTAGGGGAAAAGCTGCAATAGTTGGTTAGTTAAAGAAAGAAACATTTCTCTAAAACAGTACACCTTTTATTAAATTAAATGAAATGCTAAACCAGAACAAAGTAGGGGTCAACATAAGACCGAATCGATTTTCCACTTGGCAGACTTGTCAAGGACAGTTGTTTTGCTAGTAAGACAACATTATGACAAGAAGAAAAAAACATGAAATACGGTTTAAAAAGCAATCCAGAGGATTTTGTTCAGCTAGAAATAAGATTATAATGACGTGACTACAAGTAGGACTTTAAGGTTATCTTAATTACTTCATTCTTACTTATGCTGAATCTTCCACAGAAATCCAGTAAAAATTATTTTTCTCCTATTTTACACCACTGTAACTTAGATATTCCATTTTTTAACAGATTTGAGGCATGTGGTGCTAGGTCTATATAGACAGTGCCAGCTGTTTCCTGTTTAATAAATTATAGTAGTTATTTGGCATTTTTATGGAGACTGAAAAAATGGAAAGCCAGAAATTAGTCATGAATTTAGGCTGAATAATTTAGCATCACATCAAAAATACAGTGAAGGAAATTATTTGTATCAATCTCAAATGTAGGTAAATAAGCTATCTTGCAGTCTGTTAACTTGGTATCATTTTTCTTGGATTACTCAAACTGATGTAATGATCCCCAGGTAAACGTGAAGCAAATTGTGTTTAGCTGTCCCGAATATCTGGGTTTCAGCCCTACGAACTTCCTTTGTGGTACCGTACAGACTTTCACTAAATGCAAACACTGAAGTGGAGGAGCTGAAAGGAAAACCTTTCCTCCCAAGATACCTTTCTAAACTCTTAAGTTAATAAATTCCTGCCTCTATTCGTTAAGAGTATAGAACATGTAATTCCCAACACAAACATCTCACTGAGGCGCCCAGAGAGAAAACGCCCCCATTATCACCACGGGAGCAATTTGGGGGAAATTATACAAAATTATGTACTTTCAGGCAAAGCAGAGCAACATGTGAGGGTGGAAATGATTTACTGAC